AGGGGGGGGGGTGTACTCGCGCCGGTCCAGCGCCAGACCGACCTTAATGTTTGTCTTTTCAGGATGAAAATGAGACTTATTCTTAGCCGCGCGCCACTCCTCTATCTCCGGCTCCGACTTCCATACATTCTCATTTTCTCCGGGCCGGCGGTGCGGCGGCTGGCCGGAGCGAGGAGATAAAAGCGGTGCTTGCATCCACAATTTTACCCCTTTTTTATTTTAAACTCAGCGGAGTTAACAGCCGCAGCGGGAACAAGGCCGCAGGAGTGGGGTGGCGCCGGCCAGTCCCTAAATCGAAACGCAACGATACTGGGGTGACTCCAAAGTCTGCGGCGTGGGCGGTTGGGGTGGGGCCGGTGGCTCATGACCTTTTCTTTGTGCAGACGTATCCAGCTTCCCATCGATAGACACTCGCCGGGGGGCTCTTCTCACGTCCTCTGCAGTGTCCTTCTGGCCGTCTGCAGCCGTCACACTCTGTATGCGCAACGCACCTGCAGGGTGGTTCCGCAAAGTGGGTAGTCGTCTCGTCTCTCTTCCACCAAATGCCATTCACCCATGAGTGCGACTAGGATGAAGGTACGAGAGCACTGCGATATAACCTTAATGGACACCTTGACCAACACCCGCACGCCTCCGGGCCTTCTCTCTGCTCTCGGCCGGGGCAGCCGGCGACTCATCCCGCACGAGCAGGCGACGCACGGCTTCGGCTGCCGAACCCCGTGTTCGTGAACCTCGACGACGACACCTGTCTCTCTCCCTCCCACGCACGCGGTCGACGGGGAGGTATGTGACGGCGGGCGGCCCGGCCGCCGGGGTGGCGGTGGCCGTGGTGGGGGAGGAGAGTGTCCACCCCGAGGCGGCCCGGTATAAAAGCCGAGGGTGGGCCCCGCAGCTGCCACTAATATTTTTATGTTTGGTGCGGACATTGTATGAGCAGTGTGAGTGGTGAGTGCCTCCAGTGCAGTACTACAGTGTCTGTGTGTGCGTGTGTGTGCCAGTGCGTCGTCGTGGGCCTCCTCTCCGCCCGCTCCTCCCGGACTACTTCTACTACCCCCGTGTGCGTGTGTGTGTGTTGCCAGTGGAGTCGGCGGGTGCGCCGTGTTGCGCCGTTACGCCGCGGTAGTTTGTATTCAGGGCCGCGGTGAGCCCCGCAATATCATACCCCGTTGTGCCGATGGCCGCTGATCAATGCGACGTACCGCAGGAAACACGGAGACTCGGCTCCATAAAGCCGCGGCGGGATCGGAGCAAAAGCTCGGCTAGAACGTGTGTTACATCAGTTGCCTGCCGTTGTGTCCGCCGGAGGATGGCCCCGGCGGGGAACGGGCGGGAGGGGGTGTTATTCAGTCGGTTCACTCGCGTCCCGTTTCGGCCTTACTCGGTGCTGCTATGGCGGCGTTTACCGAATCGATATCGTAAAAGTGGCGAGCGGTGCGCCGTCTGTCAGCCCGCGGCCGAGGCGGCCGCCCCGCCGCCCTGCAGCCTGCAGCGGACGCAGAACAAGCAAAGGCGTTTGTGTGATTTATGGGAGGCGCCGGTTTCGTCGTGACCTTATCGGGGTTTCGCTGGGAGCGCGAGATAGACCAGATCCCTTCGCGGGCCGCGGGGCTCGGGGCGCCGATTCTTTCTCCATGATCCATAACTCGGGTCGGGTTTGGCGCCACCGCGGCGGTTGTGCC